TATGAGTATATTTTTAGTGTTATAATTTGTTTTGAAATAGATTTATTTGTTTAAATAAATGCCCTATGATGACATTATGAGTTGAAAGCTTACCTATGGACCTGGCAAAACAGTGTTTTTGTTTCTTTTCTTCCAGCTTTAAGAATTTATGAGCTAGAAATGATCATTATCTGTATACATAAATTATCCAGGTTGAATATACAATAGCAATATGGAAAGATAATAAATCTTTTTAATTACCTAGCTAAGCGAACAGTTCTGTGCAAATTATCTAATCATCTAATGTTTGAACATGATGTATGAATTAAAAATGTATTGGTACGACTTATAGTTTAAAATAGATCTGTCTAGCAGGGCAGGAACTCACTGGTAGAGCACTGCAGCTTCCCCATAGAGGGCCGTGAACACTAATCCCATCATGTCCTTTGTCCCTGGTTCCACCAAACACCCTTCCTAGTTGCTCAGACTTTTATCCCCATACTGCTCTATACATCCCCTGATCTGAACCCATCTCCCACTCCACTATTACTCTTCATTTACTCACAGCCACCTCTTTTCTCAGTTTAGATTTCAATATTTTCTGGCATTATCTTAAACTCTCTCCTATTTACATACTTTCCGGGCTAAACCTGAACCCTGGTTAAATCCAGTTTTTTTCTCACCCCACTCCTGCATATGTGCAACTGAATGTGGTGGGGGAAAACACACACAGTTATAAATTCAGGACAAATGCAGACCATTAGAACTTTTCAAGAAGCCTACTCCATTTCTCTGTTGCTTTCATTCTCCTCCTCTCTGAGATGACTATTATATATCTCTGCCCTTTTGAGTCCCAAATATTTCTCTCATCTTCACTCTCAGCCGATGACTTTGCATCCTGTTTTGCTGAGAAAATAGGTGCGCTCAGAAGAGAATATCCACAATCCCACTTCCATGTCTACCCACTAGCCTACATCTGTTCACATATTCAGCCCACCCCGAAGAAAAAGGAGATAAACAGGGTGGGGAGGCAGAGGTGGGGGGACAATAAGATAAACAAATAAAGGTAGGGTGTCATAATGGAATGGCCTGTGCTTTATTCACTGCTATAGCTCCAGGGTCTGGGAAATGTCTAGAACTACTGAGCACAAAAATGAATAAAGGATTGAATGAATGAACAAATGAACTGAGGAGTTCCTTAGCTCATTTCTGTGCCTGGGGCCAATAAAAATTCACGCACATACACTTAACCTGCTTCTGAATTCCAAAGATCAAGGAGAAAATGTTATAAGCACCCAGATAGAAAGAACTGGTTCTTTTAAAAGGGAAGAGGTTCAGGCTAGCATAAGACTTCTCATCTGTAATTTTGGAAGCCAGAAGGCAGTAGGATGAGCTTAGAGACTATTAAGGAAATAGGATGGCAATTCATCAATCTTATATTCAGCCAAAACAGTGATTATACAAAGGTAAAAGAAAGATAGCAAATATACATGTATAACCACCTTCTGAAAAACTCAAGGAAATACTCTAGCAATATAAAAATTATACCAAAACAAAAATTTCTAGATAGCAAGAGATGAAGAATAAAAGCAACAACAGTGAGTAATAGTATCTAAATTAAGATTTCATGTAAATCAAAAAGAATTATGATAATATGACACACTATAATGCTTGTTAAATAAGGATATTTAAAATGTAAAAAAAATTTTCAAGTAAACACTTGATATTGGCCTGAAACTTGAATTCTTAACTATCTCAATAA